TGTCCGGCTCCGCGCCCCCGTCCGAGGACTATCCGAGCGCCTGTTCCAATCCGCGTCCGCGTTCGAGGACGATCCGAGCGCCTGTTCCGCCGTTCCGCAGGGTGGGTGTGGGGGATTCAATCCAAACCCCGCCAATGGGAACCCCAAACGGGATCATCAGGCAGCTGCCACCAGCACCACCGAAGCCTCTCTAGGAACGAGCCCATTTAGCGAAGAACAGATTCATGCCCTCCAGAAGATGCTCGGTCAGCTGACACCAGTCCAGCCTACTAGTGTGGCATCGGGTGCCACCGACCTTGTTACCTATCAAGGTATTTCCCCATCAGCTTTTGTCTTGTATTCAGCCTCTTCTCGCCCCTGGATTGTTGACTCAGGTGCCTCCGATCATATGACCGGGGATGTCTCCTTATTAATGGATTACCGGCCGTGTAGTCCGACCCTCACTGTTCGGATTGCTGATGGATCAACCTCTAAAGTTGCTGGTCTTGGCTCTGTCTGCATCTCTCCAGATTTATTCCTCACTTCTGTGCTTCATGTTCCTACTTTGGATTGCAATCTGATCTCTATTAGTAAGCTCACTCATAATTGTCATTGTGTTGCTAAATTTTTTCCATATGTTTATGAATTTCAGGATTTGAAGTCGGGGAGGATGATTGACAGTGCTGAGTTGCGCAGTGGTCTCTATCTCCTCAACAAATCCTCTATCAGTCTCGTCTCACTTGAAGTCGGGGAGGATGATTGACAGTGCTGAGTTGTGCAGTGGTCTCTATCTCCTCAACAAATCCTCTTAAATCCACCAGTTATATTCCAGTATCAAGTCTGTCGTGCTTAAATCCGCTTAGTACTTCTGTATTCCATTCTAGCGTTAATAATGAGAGTGAAATCATGTTACTTCATTATCGTTTAGGTCATCCCAATTTTATGTACATGGGGAAACTGTTTCCTCATTTATTTATTAATAAAAGTTCTACCTCTTTTAATTGCGAATTTTGTCAACTTGCCAAACACACTCATACTTCATTTCCTCGATTATCATACAAACCCACTCGTCCCTTTTCTCAGATCCATAGTGACATCTGGTGTCCTTCTCGTGAAAAAAATATTTCTAGATGATCACGCACGGGTGACATGGATCTATCTTATGCGTGACAAATCCGAGGTAGGACCAATATTTCGTGTATTCAATCAAATGATACTCACTCAATTTGACACAAAAATCCAAGCTCTCAAAACAGATAATGCACGAGATTTTTTCAACACCTCCATAAGAAATTTTCTTACTCAACATGGCATCCTTAACCTTAGCACATGTGTTGATACTCCCCCGCAAAATGGGGTTGTCAAGCGGAAAAATCGTCACTTGTTGGAGGTAGCCCGTTGTCTCATGTTTACCACATCGATCCGTAAATATTATTGGGGCGAGACAACATTGACCGCTGCCTACCTCATAAATCGGATGCCCTCTCGTATTCTGGGTTTTCGTAGTCCAATTGATGTCCTCCTTCGCTCCTTTCCAAATACCTGTACACTCTCTTCAGTTGTCCCTACCAAACTATTTGGTTGTTCCGTCTTTGTTCATATTCACAAACAATACCGCAGTAAATTAGACCCCAAATCTGTCAAATGCATATTCATAGGGTTTTTGACCAACAAGAAAGGCTACAAGTGTTATTGTCCTTCAACTAT